AAAATCTTCCAGCAGGAGATTTGTTTTGTCATTGTGCATTTACCATACTTGGCACAGGTCTGAAAATCCAGCTAGAAGGTGCCCTTCTTTCCCACTGAGAATTTTTTTTTCATTTCTCTTTCTGAGTCTGGTGCTTCAGGATTCTCAGAGCTGCATTGAGTATGATATTTGCTTAGAAATATGGCCTCCATAACAGATTTTAAGCAGATGTTTTTCCTTTAGTCTTGAATGACCCTTGCTGCTATTGCCTCTTATTTTGCAATTACTTAGGCCTAAAAAATGAAGTCACTGGGTGGCGGAAATGGTTACGTGCTCAGCTACTCATTGAAAGGTTGGCTGTTCAAATCCACGCAGAGATACCTCAGAAGAAAGCCTTTGTGATCTACTTCCAAATGGTCACAGCCATTGAAAGCCTGATGGAGAACAGCTATATTCTGACACACAAGGGGTCACCAGGAGTCGGAAGCCCCTTGACAGCAAATGGTTTGGGTTGGTTATTTAGACCTAAAACCCCTGCCTCCTAAGGAGTGTTTTCCTTTTGTTATACCTTTTGCTAGTTGAATTTCACAGAGAAGACAGAGGCCTCTGACTTGTGCTCTGCAAGACAGGACAGGGCTGCAACAATAGGTCTTGATTCTGGTGTCTTTTTCCTTTTGAAAATCTTCAGCTGAGCCTGAGTCAGCAGACCCCACCCTGAGTACCCAGGCAACGTCCCAATAAAAAGCTTAAGAAGCTCTGTAACACACACAGAACTTACAGCAGAAAATATTGTTCTAGTTCCGTACAAGTCAACAACCACTGATGAGAAACTTTTTTTTTTTTTTTTTTTTATGGCTAGCCTTTTGCTACAGCCACATTTATTCAAAGAAAGTGGGTGATTTTCAAGGCTCTTGGCTTTGCTGAGGCCCTCATCACCCTTCCCTCTTTCTGAGGCCTTCGACACTAACCTTTGCTGAGGTGACATGGCTGACATTTAATTGTTAGGCCCCATATGGCCACAGTGTGGCTGAAACTCTCTGTGGCCTGAGGTCTGCTTAGTCCTTGAATTTCTGCAGATCGCCAAATCCTATGCTCTGTTTATAGAGTCTGTGGGTGGTATAAACATTTAATGTGCTTACTGCTAACAGAAAGGTTAGATATTAGAGTTTTTCCACAGGGGGAATGGTGATCTACTTTGGAAAAATCAGCCTTTGAAAACCCATAGGGTTACCATGAGTGGAGTCAACTCCATGGCAACTGGTTTATGTGCTGTTTGCTTGAGACCTGCTATCTTAGCTCTGGTTCCCTGGAAACTAGCTTGAGGCAGTACCTGACACATTATGAAGGAGTATGATTCCAGGGAAGCAGGAGTGAAGGAAAATGGAAGTGAAGCCAGGAAGGAAGAAGAACACATAGAAGGGCATGTGTTCCCAAGATGGCCGTAGCTTTGTAACAGGTTGATTGTTTGAACCTTCAGAATCCTCAGAAAGGCCATATAAAGCCTTTACTGTTCTGGACAGTATATTTTGAAGGGGAAGTTGAAAGGGAGGAAAATATATTCACTGCCTCCCATATCTCACTGTCATTTCTGTATCTTAGCACAATAACCTCTAGAAGGGAAGTAGGAGATAGAAGGTGTATGGTGTGGGTGTGAGAGAGATACTATGGGGTCAGGCCTCCTAGTGGCAGGAGGAAGTGGGGGTTCCTGACTGTCAGGAGCAGCAACCTAACTCCACAACTATAGATATGAACAGTGTACAGTATCTAGGGCCACTCCAGCCAGAAGAGTCCACAACATCTGATCACCATTGTTTAACAGTCAATGTGTGCATTCCCAATTCTATAGTCTGGAACAAAGCTGTCACAGCTCTAGTAATGCACCAGAAAATACTGCAGCCTGAGGCTTAGAGCTCATCTCCTAAGTTCAACAGCCAAACGTCAATGCAGATCCAAACAGACTAATGGCTCCAATTAAATTGCTGAAAGAAATCAGTCAAAACTCCACATGGACCACTGTCCACCACTCAGAGGAGGATCTATGTAGGAGATCCTGGGTAGAGAGGGAGAACAATGTGGAACAAAACTCAAAATCATTTGGAAAAAAAAATGGGGGGAGGACCAGGTTTGCTGGTCTGATAAAGACTGATGGAACCACTGAGACTATGGCCCCTGGCTCCCTTTCAGGTGTGGAATTGAACCCATACCTGTGGCTTCCAGCAAAACAAAAGACAGGCATATGAGTTGAACATTTACCCGAGGTAGATATACTCTTTGGAGAGAACAATCATGGGAGAAAGAAGGGCTGTTTATGCATAAGGACATACCTCAGGGAGCAGGAGTACATAGAGGGATGGACACAGGGAAGAGGTAAGTATTGGAAAGAAGTGGGAGGGGAGTTGTTGCATTGGGGTAAAGTACAGTCATGAAACAAAGTGTATTTGAACTGCTGGATGGAAAGTGAATTTGCTCTGTAAACTTTCACCCAAATCACAATTTTTTTTATAAAACAAACCTCCACATGGTCCTTGCTTAGTAAACATCCTCAAAGCATAAAGCCATCTGCCCTGGCTGTAGGCAAAGCCTCCATTCCTTGCTGTGCATCTTACTCCCCTGAATTCTCCTTTATTTTTGTTTCTCAAGGGTTGAAAACTTGAGTAGCAGATACTGAGGTTGGGATTACACCCCTAAACTGCAGGAACCCAACTATGGAGGCATCCTTTAAAAAAAAAAAGGAAAGAAAAATAGGGCATGGTAAAGCAGACGAGGCTCAAGTATAGCAGAGATTGTGGGGCTGGCGTGGGATCGGGCAGTGTTTCGTTCTGCTGTGCATGGCGTCACTATGAGTCGGAAACGACTCGATGGCACTTAACAACAACAACAACAAAGCAGACGAGAACACAAGCTCCTGTTGGGTGCTTTCGGCCATGAGAAAGGGAGACAGAGAGGCTGGGCTATGGGTGTCCATGCTCACGTTCTCCTTCTTTATATATGAATTATATTCATTCATTAACTGTAATGCAGTTCTTCTTTAGCCCTAACTACCTGGAACTAGGTCAGATTTCACAGGTTAAAGGGAACAATCATCCACACTGCCAAGTCTACCCAAATACCAGCCACATCTACACTTCTGACCTGATGACTAAAAATTTGGGGAATTTCACTACCCTCTCAGGTTTGATATTTCTCTAGAACAATTTACAGAACTCAGGAAAGTGTTATGATTATATACTTAAGATTTATTATAGAGAATGTAAGTCAAGACCAGCATAAAGAAGAGACATTACATAGGCATGCTTGATTGACTCATTGCCCATGTGGTTGAATTTTATCTCCAGTTCACCTTCTCTCCCTTCCCCAGAGGTCAGGCTGATCACAGTGTGGGTCTTCTGTGTTCCACACCTTGGAGTCATTTCATTTATGTTAGCTACCAGATGTGGTCTGGAGTCCTCCATGTATAGCAAAATCACTCAGGAAATTCAAGATTCCAAGAGGTTATCTCCCAGGAAGCAAGGACAAAGACAAAATTCTTTGAGTAAAGTACTTCCTCACCCCAAACTTCTAATTTCGCTAAGGCCTCCTTACTTTGTGTGATCCAAGGACCAGCAGAAGTGTTAGCATCACCTGAGTGCTTGTTACAAACTCAGAATCTCAGAATTCACCCAAATCCCCTAAATCAGAATTTCTATTTTAACAAGATGCTAGGTGATCCATAAGCACATTAAAGTCTGAGAAGACCTGCCCATTATGGAACAGAGCCTTCCTTGCCCAAACACCTTCTCTTAGTTTATTTCTTTCATAAAACCATTGCCCTCGAGTCGGATCTGACTCATAGCTACCCCTCCTCAGGTTTCCAAGGCAGTATCACTACAGAAATAGATTGTCCAACCTTCCTTCTGAGGAGTGGCTGGTGGGTTTGAACTGCCAGCCTTCTGGTTAGCAGTCAAATGCCTTAGGCACTACGCCACCAGAGCTCCCCTATAGTGAAGACAAAAGGCTGCTTCTCAGATTTCCTAGGTAACCCACTACATCAGATTCCATTTTGAATATACGTTGTTGTTGTTGTTGTTATGTGCCCTTGAGTCAGACCCGACTCATAGCGACCCCTCCTTGGGTTTCCGAGGCAGTATCACTATGGAAGTAGATTGCCCCATCTTCCTTCTGAGGATTGGCTGGTGGGTTTGAACCGCCAGCCTTCTGGTGAGCAGTCAAGTGCCTTAGGCGCTATGCTACCAGAGCTCCTACAAGAATACCCTATAGTTACCCATAATGCCTTTCCCATTCATGCATTTATTCAATAGTAATTGAGCACTTTCTATATTCCAAATGCTTTCCTTCTGGATCCCTGGTCCTCCTGGCCATGTCTTTGTTGGGTTACTTCTGGTGGGATAGGCAGGAGCTGGGATCTGGGTTGTAAGAGCCAACTACCCAAGCTGATAGATATTGGCACAAGAGCAGGAAAGACGTTACACTGGTGTCAGGTGCTGCCTTTATAAGTGTAAAGTGCTGTCCAACTGTGTAAAGGGGAGGTCCATAACAAGTCCAGTGTTTGTCGCTCTGTGGCTATGTGATGCCCCACTTGGTGGAGCACCTCAGTAGTCCCACTACATTGATGGCAGTTAAGAAATGCACTCACTGAGTACGGTTCCCGCATGTTGGAGTTCAAGAGCTGTCTTCATAAGGAATACTGGGGTGTGTATGGGAGCAGGACTGAGAATAGTGGCCAAAGCCAAAGACCACTAAAAAAGTCAGGAGACCTGATGGGTCCCTAGGTTGAGAGCAATGTTTTTAGACAAACGGACTGCTAGGGCAGTCCTTGTAAACTGGAAAATTGTAAATTGGAAAATAGGTTGGAGTCCAGAGGGGCTCTGAGTTCTGGTCACACTGGGAGTGTGGGCAATGTGATAGCAAGGTTGCTGAGGGGTGCCCTGGGCAGTTTAAATCTTCCCATTTCAGTGCTGTTCCTCCCCAAGGACAGTGTTGGGGGTTAGAGGCTGAGACAGCAGCTAAGGAGATGTGTGGACTCAGCTGTAAGGAGCTGAGGGTGCAGAGAGCTGTGGCTGAGAAGACAGGATTGATGTCATCTTCACCTGGGAGTAGATGATAGAAGAGTCCTAGGGGGGAAGAGCACATGGGTGAGGGTGAGAGGATGGCAGGTATGGGGGAGGGCCTGCAGGTCACTGGACTCACCTTGTCCTTGAGAAGCCCTGGTGTGGAGGCCACTGTGGAAAGAAGGACAACATTTGGCTGTGAAAAACTTGTTCAGAGTGAACCATCTCCCTTGTATCTGGCTACTTGTCCCATCATGGCTGTGTCTTGGGCCCCCCCACCTCCCTCACTTGTGTGAGGTAAGTCAGTCACTCTTTTTGGTCCTCTCTCTGTACTGCAACTGCTGTGTCCTTAAGATATTCAGCCTTGCATCTCTGACTAACTCTCCTCCACATCACTTTCTACTCTATTTCCTGCTCTGAGCTGTCTAGGGGCTTTCAGAACAAAGAAACCTACCCTTTTATCTTGATAGTTCTTTGATCACAGATTCATGTTATGTATTATGGAGAGGTGGCATGGCCTGGAGCACTGGCAGTGTGGTGGCTTAGAGAGCAGACTGCAGATCCAGACCACCAGACTGAGTCCTGGGTCAGTCTTGCTGCCTCTGTGGCCTTGGGTAAGTTACATAATGACTCCTGCCTAGATTTCCTCATCTAGATGATAGGTTAATGTTACCTGCATTCAGGGTTATTTTAAGAGCAATAAAGCTTTCATATGCATGTGTGTATTTGTATGTGTATGTATAAATATTATTTCTAGAGTACTGGTGGTGAAGTGCCTAAGACATTTGACTGCTAACCAGAAGGCTGGTGGTTCAAATCCACCAGCCACTCCTTGAAAGGAAGATCAGGCTAATCTACGTCTGTAGTGATACCACCTTGGAAACCCAAGGAGGAGTCCTATGAGTCAGATCCAACTCGATGACAATGAGTTTGATTTTGGTTTTATTGTGTGGTAAGGTCTGAGAGCTATAAATAAATAAATCATAAACACACATACATGCACATGCTATAAATATGTATATTTATAGCACTTAGAACTGTACCTGGCACAGAGGAACTTCTCAACACATAATAAATATTAGAAATTATTATTATTTTTCTATTTTCTTAAATCTGAAGTGAAACATGACATTCTTCATACAAGGTTGTCTTCTTTTGGTTTAGAATAAGTATCAACACGACCTGGAATTGCACTGAGAAGCAGAGAAGTGTAGTGGTCCAGAGCTTGGACTGTGGAGATAGATTGTTCTGTGATTTACTAGCTATGTGACTTCAGGCAAGTCTTTAAAACTCTTCATGCCTCAGTTTCTTCATCTATAATATGGGGATGCCAGTGTTTACCTCAAAGGGGGTTGGTTGTAAGTGTTAATGAATTAGTATGTGCAAAACAACCAGGTCCTGACACATAGTATGTGCTCATTAAATGTTAGGTATTATTGGTATTGTTGTTGACTATCCTTGATGAGGAAGTCAATCTCTTCACAAGTTTGTAGAATATTAGAGTTTTCACTTGATCTTTCACTTAGTGTGTTAGAGGTAGGTCCAATAACCAAGAATAGGCACAAACACAGTTTGTTTGACTTTATGCAGAAGAAAACTGGAAACCCAGAGAGGGATACAGAATGGCTAAAATCACAGCATATTTTATAGGGCAAAGTTAGAAAGAAAAAGCTTCCCTCAAAAAACCTTATTTCCCTTTCTTGTTCCAAGAAGAAGGAAGACAAGCTGGGATCCCTCATTACAGACCACCTAGCATGAGTGAAGATTAATAACACAGCCAATTGCTAGAATAAGGTAGCATGTTTGGTAAAGCAGAACATCAACAAAAAATGATGGCAACAATTAATGAGATATATTGACACAACAGCTGTGGCAGTGGACTCAAACATACCAATGATCATTAAGATAGTACAGGATCAGGCAACATTTTGTTCTGTTATACATAAGGTTACCATGAGTTGGAGCTGACTCAATGGCAACTAGCAACAACCACAAATATGTCCACATCCTAGTTCTGAGAATCTAGGATTATATTACCTGAGATGGAAAAAGGGACTTTGCAGAAGTGATTAAGATTAAGTTTCTTGCTATGGGGAGATTATTTTGGATTATCTGGATAAACCCAACCTATTCACATGAATCCTCAAAGGTGGAGAAACTTTTTTTTTCTGTGGTTAGGGGAAGATGTAACTGGAAGAAAGACTGGGGAGATGATATATTGCTAGCTTTGGAGATGGTGGATGGGAGCCACAAACTAAAGGAAGTTGGTGGCCTCTAGAAGCTGAAAAAGGCAAGGACACAGATTCTTCCCCAAAGTTTCCAGAAGGAATGCAGCACTGCCCACAAATTAATTTGAACCCAGTGACACCTGTGTTGAACTTCTGACCAGCAGCGCTATAAGATAATAAATTTATATTGCTTAAGCTACCAAGTTTGTGGTAATTTATTGCAGCAGGAATAGGAAACTAGTATGAGTAGGTAAAGCATGATAATATTGCCCCATTTTATGAATGAGTACACTGAAGCTCTGAGAGATTAAATGACTGCCCACATGAATGGTTTTGTTACTCAGCTAATACTGAAACCATCTGTGGAGAAAGGAGAAAGCTGCACTGCATGATGGGCTTGGGCTAAGCCCAAGCACCTCAGGTGGGCACAAGTTCAGAAGCCTGGGTGACCAGTGTGAGTGGCAACAGTGTGTCTGTTTGGCCCAGATCTAATGAAAAGGTGGAGACTGGACCACACACAGCAATAGACTATCAAAGCCGAGGCTCAGCCAGAACAGAGATTTCCTTAGCTCTTACCTGCATGGGTCTTTTCTTCTCGTTTGCACTGGACTTCAGAGTAAACCACATCTTCTTTAAGATTTACTTGAAAGAAAGGTGAAGTTTCAGAAGACTCAGAAGTTTCAGAAGTTTTGTCTCTTGCCATTTACTTCCTGCTTTCCCAGGAAATCTCATTCTATGGAGAGGCTAGAACCCCAGGCCTCTAAACCTCCATCTCCTCCCCCTACCCTACCTCCTGGACAAACCTTAGGGACTCTGCTCAAATGAAGGTGCTCAGTCCTCACCATTGCTGTATACTGGCTGTAGTTCTACCCAGGCTGGTACGTTGTCGTAGGTGGGCTCTTGGTTGTCTGAGTTAGAAGGGCTCCTGTGAGATACAAAAATGCCACTGTTTCCCAGGAAGCCTGACATAGTAGGTATAATGATCACCAAGCCTGGAACCATGAATAACAAATGGTCTATGGCTAGTATATTACAATACATGATAAAATAATATATTATTTATGTTTCCAGACTTTATGGTCACCTGATGTGTACCAGGCATTGTGCTAATGTTTATAACACTACTAAAAAGTCAGTTCTTTTACTATCCCCACTTTATAGATGATAAAATGGAGATTCCAAGAGGTGAAGATACTTGCTCAAGACTGTACAACCAGAAAGGGGCAGAACCAAGATTTGAAACTGGCTCTAAAGCTTACACTCTCAGAAAGAGCAGAGTCTCAGAGAAATCAGTAATTAGAGGGCTCAGAAGAATCCTGGATGGTTTTGACACTGCTACCATAGTCTTGCCCAGGCAGTTTGTGAACTGTGATGTGGTTCCTAAAGTTTGCTTTTGGAATCCAAGATGGCAGCCCCTTCCTCACAGGTACCACCTCTTGGCCCCTGTGAGCAGAGTGACCTTTCTGGGTGGCCAAATTTTGTGGCTTCTCTACCGTTGTTACAACAGGTGCTGATTAGGTTAAGTCATGTCTAGAGGTTTTCATTCTGATTAAACTAAGATCATCTTAGGACATGGACAGATTTAATGGTCATCAGATAATCAAGGCAACAAGGATGGGAGTTAATAAATAAAAAGCAACTAACACTTGATGCAAGAAGAAGGCCTAAATAGCTAAAACAGTGAGAAGATCCTGGGAACTGCCTTGAGATATCCCAAAGGAAGAGACAACATGAAGTGAGCACATCCTGTTTCAGAGACACGCAGAAGAAACTGGACTCTTGGCAGTAACCAGAACTCAACTCCATATTTCTACCCTGTGTGCATTTCATGAACCACACAGGAAAGGTCAGTTGAAGGAGTACAGCACAGGCCTTACCTGGTGGTGTCACAGACATGTTTCCCTCCTGCAAAGGAAATCAGAAAAGTATTGGATCCAGGAGAAGGAAAGGAGCTCATAGCAGGGCCACCTAGAATCTGCTGGTCACTAAGGTTTGAATCCTTCTTTGTAATCCCTACTGAATTTGGCTGATCGGGCAAAAACTACTGGCCCTGGCCTCCATAAGGGAGTAGTTGTAATGTGAAAGGGGAATCCATAATTCATAATCCTTTAACCTGGAGTTTGTAAGGAAGGGAAATAAACTTGATCAACCATGAAAATGCCATACATTTAAAGACTCAGTAAGTTACCAACTGCTATCTAGGTTCTATTTTTGCCCCAATTTTTCAAAGTTTTTCTCCTCCTCATTCTTTGGGGGTTGTATATGGTAGAGGGGGAGATACACTAGAGTTTCTGATGTTGGATAAACTACACCTCATCAAGGCATCTTCTATCAACTAGTGTAATTTGGAAAACTGTACTTGATAAACATGAATTGGGAGAATCTAGAAGGGAAGATGGGGCATTTGTGGCAGAGAGGGGGCTGGGGGTGGCTGTTGAAAGCCTGAGGTGGTTACAAGCCTGAGAGAATAGAGGCAGGATGAGCATGGATTCCAGCAAAGGAAAGCTGGCGATCCACCCACCTGTTTTTCTTGAGAACCAGTAATACCACAGCAGTGCCACAGCAGCCAGGCCCATTATGCTGAGCAGTCCTCCGGTGATTCCTGTGGCCACAGGGCCACTTCTGCTTCCTGTCAGCCCTGAGAGGAAATCTATGCATGAGCCAGGAGAAGAGGCTTATAGATTTGAATTGTCCTAACCCCTGGAGCTGATGACTGGGCCTGGAAGAGAGTGTGAATGTAGAGGACCAGAATTCCTGAGGGTCCCTGAGCCAGGCAGTAGGTCAAGAAGTCTCCCTTTGGCTAAGCAGGTGCTGATGCAGCATAAGAGATGGCTTGTATGTGTGTGAGGGAGCTTATTTCTGCATCTGAGACCAGGGTGAGCATCAGTGTGGGTTGTAGCCAGTAAGAAAAGAGGCAGACAGCCAATGAGCTCCATTTTCAGTGCTTGTTCCTCTTTGGTCCCCCTCCCCCTCCCCAAGTACCATCACCTCAGAAAATAACAATTTAGAAAATATCCAACTGTAAATACGATGTGGAGGTATCATCTGACCTCCTTAACTTCACAAAAGGGTCACATGACATTCTCTCCATGACATCTTTACAGTTGGTGACAGGATTCATTGCAATGGCTTCAGACTCATGGAAGCATGGGACATTGTAAGTGAAAGAACAAAGGGGCATGGGAAGTGAAACTTTTGGTTCTTAGATGGTTACTTTGGTTTTGTCTACAATGGCTGAAAGGAAAGTAAGAGATGTTGTGCTGCAGCAGGGCAAAAAAGCCAAATCTGGAGTGATTTGGGACAAAAGTCTGGCTAAGATGATTGACAGAGGGCCAGGGTCTTCTGGCTCCACATTGCTAGAGGATCAAGGCCATATGCATATGAAAGGGAAGATAGTCAAGGTATGGGGAAGATAAAACTGGAATATTTTAAAAAAGGTTATGTGTTTATTTGAATGTACTATGGATAGTAAATATTTCTCCTACCTAGTGTTGTAAAATAGAGCTAAATATATGATGGAAATGAATGTTGGATATTATAGATATCAGAGAGCATGTATCTCTCTGCCTTCAATCAATACTTGATGGGATATGCTAAAAGCTGAAATGGAAATTGCACAAAAGAAACGATGACTGTTGGTTGGAATACAGCAACTCTGTACATAGAGTATAGGGGCTTAGGTCAGAAATCTGAGCCCCACACTGTATCTTTCCAGTCAGGAAATTTGCATTTGAAAAGATGTTCAGCCCTACCCAGAACTTCTGGGAAAGTAGGAAATTTGCATATGAAGGAAGGACTTGTGGGGAGAAAAATTACTTTTGGTGTTTGAACTGTGAACAAGTGGTTTGCCTTTCAGTACATCTTATTGCCCATCATAAGATCCACCATCTAGGACTGGAAGTTAAAGGGAGCTAGTGAGTAGACAGACTAGAAGGCATACTCCAGGTGACCACCTGAGTCTGTTCATTAAGTGGAAGTAGGGAAATGCAGCAAAGAAGAGATGCACTGAGTTTGCACATCATTGACCTATCCAACAGGGACTAAAGATGAGAGAGAGAAGGGGCTAAATGGTCTGAGGTGCAGAAAAGTATATGAATTCCCAAGCCTACAGCTAGTACCCATTGACCTAGCCCATGGGTGTTAGTGATGAGTTGATCAGACCTGACTGAATGAAGAGAGAAATGTTTGACACTGTGAGCTGGTATAGATTGTTCCAATTTGATGACTTGCTCTAGACTGGACTTTACTTATGTATGCAGCTTGCTCAAAGTTTTGACCAGAAAAGAAGATTCTTCAGATCAAGGAATATATTTGTCTTCTCAGAGTACAGGTTTTATAGGAACGGGCAATTTAGATATTGGCTATCGAAAATGTGGGGAGAGATAATGGCATAGAGTGATTGGCTTACACACTTATGTGGGTGTTATTAGATTCAAAATGAGGGGGACAAGTGAATAGTTTCCTCTTTTTCTGTTGGGTCTGGGGAAAAAAGAGTAGGGGAACATGCCGATATGATTCAGCTGGGATTAATGATTGCAAACAAGGCTAATTGTGATTGTTGTTGTTGTGAGGTGCCATTGAGTCATCTCTGACTCATAGTGACACTATGCACAGCAGAACAAAACACTGCCCAGTCCTGTGCCAGCCTCGTGATCCTTGCTATACCTGAGATTGTGATTGTAAAAACTGTAAATGTAGAAGGTGTAACTGTGAAAGAGTGGACTATGGGGGAGGCACTGCTGGATTGGAGTATAGTAGCCAAACCTAAAGTCCCTTAAAGGTTTTGTTATGCTGATACCTTGACAGTGGCTCAGAGTAAAGGAATAATATTCTCAGTTAAATTTTATAAGATGCTAAAAGGGTGAAGCTGAGATGACTTTTGGAGAACCTGATCAGATCAGCTGGATACCTGAAGCAGACCTGAATGGCTGGAACTTGTGTAACCTCACCTTGAGAACTCTGTACCCTACAGAAGGACTAATTGTTAATGACTGTTTCAGACTGGTAAAATAATTGGGAGTGGAAGTTATTCTCCATGTATGAAAGAATCATGGCTAGAAAAGCCAGGGAATGGTCTGCAGTCAGACAGATCACTTTTATATAGTCTTACTCACCATAGTCTTGTAATTCTCAACAAATGATTATGTGGGACTATGGAAATAAGGTGCTTGTGGCCCATGAAGGAGATTGGAGAACTAGATAATAATGCAAATAAGGTGCATGGAACCTTGTGGGGGATGAAAATAAGGTGAATGAAACCTTAAGCAGGGCATTGGTCAGTTTTGCCATCCTTCTAGGCTTAAAATGAGCCATCTGAAAGGCGGAAAGAGGGGCGTTCACTACCATCAAGAAGGTGAAATGGGATCAGAGTGCACACTTTGAACCCACAGTCCCTGTACTGAGAACCTAGACCCAGGAGACAGAGAAACAGAGAGCTATAACACCAGAGACAGCTCAACATGGGGAAAAGTGGTGGCAGAGAAATGGTAGCAGCAGAACCAGGAGACCAGCAGAGATGACACAATGGGCTTCCTTGCCCACAAAGTGAGGCAGTGTCAGTGGATGTGTCAACCCACAGACTGAGAAAGCTGAGTGCTTTTGGACAAGAAGCTTCCTGACAAAGTGGGGTGACTCCAAACACTTTTTGGTGGAGCTAAAGAGCTTTGTAACACTTGCCTTAGCAGGGTAAAGCTGAGGGGCCAAGAGTCTATGAGGTTAAGGGCCAGAGAGAGGTCTGCCTATGGACACAGCTAAGAAGCAGCTGTCCTGATTGAAGAAATGGTATCCTGAGTTGTTACTGATCCTGAATTGCAACTTATTATTTCCCTAATAAACCTCATAATCATTACTATTGTCTGTGAGTTCTGTGTGGCCATTGAAAGGAATTAACAAAACCCAACAGAGATGTGGAGAGTGCTGTGATAAGGATGTCTGGTGTCAGAATTGGTAAAAATGTTTGGAGGGTAGTGGTATATAATCAGCTTTGGGCTGATGCTTATGGCAATTGTCTTGTAAATTCTACTGAAAAACTGACCAATCCCCTCATTAGTGCTCCATACACCTTATTTGCACTGTCCCATCCAATCTTTGGTGGGAGTTGCACAAGACTGTGGCAAGAAAGGCCATATAAAGGTGATCCATAGCACCACATCCATAGCACAGTTTTGGCCATTTATTATAGTGTCATTGGGGGAAATCATTTGTCAGTATCTGTAGCATAAAAAACTTACCTTTGATGAAAAGTGTCACTACCTCACTGCGCTGGGCCCCCAGACCATTGTCAGCCTCACAGGAGTAGTTTCCAGAATGTTCTATGGTCAGAGAGAGGTTGAAGGACACGCCTCCTCCAAAGGAGGAAGAGCTGTTCCCCAAGGTGACATCTTCATGATAGAACTGGTACAGGATTGGGGGAGAGCCTCTCCAGGCCTCACAGTGAAGCTCCACCACATCCCCTACCACAGGCTGGGCCCTAGAAGCCCTGAGGGTGAGGACTGGGCAAGACACTGGAACTGAGGAGAAAAAAGTCAGTAGTGGTTTCTACTTCTAATATATGGGTAGAGGAATAAAAAATATGAAACAACAAATAACAAACATACGATCTCAATCTTGGAAAAACATGTTAAAACATATGTGACAGATAAAGCTAATTACATTGATCTGCAAATAACTTTCAATGCACTAAAATAATCCAGTAGACAAATGTGAAGAGGGCATGAACAACTGAAAAATGTGAACAACCAATAAAAACAAAAATATAATCATCTTTGTTGTTAACTAAATATATACAAATGAAACAAGCATAAGATTTATTTCCCTCTCTACCACCATGCAGACTGGCAAAGCTTAAAAAAATGGATAATAGTAATGAGTTTGTAGATAAAACAGGTGCCTTGAATTACTCTAGGTGGGAATGCAATTCAAGAAGCTTCCTTGAATGGCAGTTTGGCAGGTGCACTTGAAAGGTTGGAGGTTTGAGTCCACTCAGAGGTCTCTCAGAAGAAAGACGTGGTGACCTACTTCTGACAAATCAGCCACTGAAATCCCTATGGGTCACAATGCTACTCTGTCACACATGGGGTTGCCATGCATCAGGATCGACTTGACAACCAGTGGTTTTTACCAAATTTAAAATGCACATAAACTTTGACCAACAAGTGTAGTTCTAGGGATACCTCCTTTAAGGATACTAATATACATAAGATATACAAAGCTGTATGTATAAGGAACTCTGTTGTAGTATTTTTACAATTGCTAAAAACTAGAAGCAACCCAGTTGACTGGTGAAAGAAATATGAAAGATAACCAAAGTGTATTTTTTTAACCAAAGTCAATAAGATTTTTTTAAGCGAAAATGGCAATTTATGTAAAACGTGTACTAGGACTCTAGTTCTGTAAAATATATATATATATATATTTGTTGTTGTTGTTGTTATGTGCCATTGAGTCGGCCCCTACTCATAGCCACCCCTCCTTGGGTTTCCGAGGCAGTATCACTACGGAAGTAGGATTGCCCAACCTTCCACTCTTCCCAACCTTCCTTCCGAGGAGTGGCTGGTGGGTTTGAACCGCCAGCCATCTAGTTAGCAGGCAAGTGTCTTAGCCACTATGCTACCAGTTTATAAAATATTTCTGGAAGAATACACATGAAACTATTAACAGTAGTTATGTCTGGGAAGTGTGTAGGTGTAATTGTGTGTGGGAACAAGTAGAAAAAGCCCCTTTTATAGTGTTCTTTTTTTTTTTTTTTAATAATAAAGTAAACAGATTATAAAAACTAAAATGTTGTGTTAAAATGTAGGCATAAGGAATGAAGGAAATGTCATAATATAGACTATTATAAGAGTTTGATATGCTCATGTTTCAAACCTGATTTTACCATTGTTAGCTATATGACTATAAAAGCAAGTTACACATCTCTCTGAGACTCAGTTCCTTTCCTGTAATTTCTCTAATTTTAGAGATCAAAATGGTACCAACCTTATATCTTACATATTAAATGAGATACTGCATATAAAGCCCTAAACAAGGGCCTGCTAGATGGTGAGGACTCAGCAAGTGTTGAAGATAATGATGTTGGTGGTGATGATGATAGTAATAAATGTCCCTTTTCCTGATTTCCATAACCTATTTCCTAGTTCTGGAGCTCAGATACAATTCATCCAGGATGGGCAATAAGCTCTTTAAATATAGTAACAGCAGCAACAGAAATAATATGTATTTGTCTCAGGGAATTATAGAAACAAGGGAATGGCAATGAACAGAAAATTATGGATACAGAGTATAAAAGGTTCAATGTACTGGTGGACTGTGTTGAAGGATACAGGAGAAGCACTTGATCAATGGAACATGCCCGTGTGGTGGACCTAAGAGGCAAGAGCCCTTGCGAATCTTAGAGCCAGTGAGGAAAACTGGCTGAGGCAAATGCTATTGGAGGAGAAAGAAGGATGAGCTGGTTGAATGAAACATGTCAAGTTGAAATCATCATCTTATGGGCACCAAACAGATGGCTGTGCCAGTCACCTGATGAGATGCTGAACCCCAGTCTTACATTCCCAAATTAACCTGATCATGTTGTCTCTATTCCTCATGATATCTGGTGACCCAGACAAGAAGGACGAGGTTATTAGTCCTATCTTGCTTTATTCATTTCAGAGAGTGTTTGCAGGCCATTTCATGGTCTTCAATTCCACTGGGATGTATCCCGGGAGCAGTGATTCCTAGCTTCTCTTTTTGCATCCCTCCTTCTAAAAACCTTTGAATGCTAGTATTCCATGATCCTTCTCTATTAAAATTGTAGAATTCTAGGACTGGAGACATCCACGATTTTCATCTAGATTGATTTTCCTACTGTGTTGGTTGCTGTTAGGTGCCTTGGAGTCACTTCCGACTCATAGCGACCCCATGCACAGCAGAATGAGACACCGCCTGATCCTGTGGCAGATCCATGATCCTTGCTATACTTGAGCCCATTGTCGCAGCCACTGTGTCAATCCATCTTGTTGAAGGCCTTCCCCTCTTTCGTCGACCCTCCACCTTACCAAGCATGACATCCTTCTCCAGGGAATGGTC